TGGTGAAATGAAGCGGTCATAAAAATTACGGCAGCCCCACCCTTTCTCTTCTCATCAGTGAGACAGGTGAGTGAGCACCTATACACACATATTTCCTTGGTGCATACCCACCTCCCTTTGAGTCTCCACCTCTGAGACACGCCATACACCACATAACCAACACCCGGGATAGCAGGTCCCTCCGAAGTGGTAACTGCCACAGCAGGCAGCACAGGGGTTTAAAAGTACTGCTTGCTAGTACTTTCCCAGACACAGAGGTGCTATAAGGATCATGGATAGCTGCTCCTCCCTCACCCTGGTTAGAGCTGGGAATACAATGTGCAATTTTTTGCCCTTTTCGGGGCGACTTTCGAATCGTGCAAGAACTTTCTGATCGGCCCGACTTTCAGTATATACATGCATTGTGCGTCGTGTAGTGTACAGGGGCTAACGAAGGGCGATCAGCCTCTCATGACTACCTCCCGATCAGGAATCGTGAGTTTGGGAGAAAATCAAACATGTGATCTCAGATGAAAACACGGAAGCATGGCGGTGAAATGGGGTTCTTTTTGTAAAATCGACAGACCGTAGTAGCCATGTTTGCTCAGCCACGTCTTTGTCCAAATACATCACCGGCGTTTCTTCTTAGTGCTTACAGCACACAAAATAACACAAATTGCCAAGGCAGTGCATTTCTCTCTGGTGAGCTTCATATTCCTCTTTTACTGGTTTCGCTTCTGGGTAGCACCCTCTCACTGCGGAGCTGAGTCCGAAGTGGTTTTTAGATGTACAGTGTTAGCAGGTAAATCACGTCAGAGCATTGTGCTGAACAGTGTGAGAACATTCATCGTGAGTATTGAACTCACAGTGTAGCTGCGTGCAATGATTGAAAAAAATCTAACAGTGTATGCCTGGCATTAGGTGGGATGGATTAGAGCCACAGAGGGGAATTCATAAAGGAGAGACCCAGGCCACTTATGTGTAAGGGCATCTGCACCCAGAGGAGCTTCCTTGTCCTGCAGGGAGAAGTCAGTAAGGCCCTGAGTATTCTCTTTCGATGCAAACACGTCCAGCCTAACTAAACCTACCACCTCTGAGTGAAGCTTCCAATCTGCATAAAGGGGATTTCCCCTGGATAAAAGATCTGCCCCAAAGATCTGGAAAGGTGAGACAGCATTCTGGACCTCAGGCAGGTGCAACAGGGAAATAAGAACCAGGTGATGTGGTGGGCTGTGCCCTCCTCTGGAGCTAAGGAACTACAGTGGGAGAGCAGAGAACCCTGCTGGGTAAACTGTGCTGGAGCAGAGAGATGCTGAGGCTGGCGAGGGCTGGCCTCTAGAAAAGATAACTTTGGAGGACCAAAGGACAGCACCAAAAAGTAGAAACCCATTGGACATAGTGCACCAAATCTGTGCTTGAGGTTAGGGAGGGGGACAAATTTATCTCCTTCAGGAGCTAAATTAAACCTTTTTTTTAAGCCCTGTTTCTCTGACTTTGATTAATTGTA